GATTACAGGCTTGAGCCACCGCGCCCGGCCCTAAGCCTCAGTTTTAAAGGGAAAGGAGAAACACCAGCTGCCAGTCGCTCGATTGTACAAGAAGGCCCGGGCAGCAAGAACTCTTGTGATTTCATCAAGGCTTTGTCTCTGAAGTCAGGAAGTACCTTGTTAGTAAGGGACTACCTTTCAAAGTTTTGTTGATATTGGACAATGCTCCTGGCCACCCAGAACCTCTTGAGTTAACACCAGTGGTGTTGATGTGGTCTGCTTGACCCCAAACACAGCATCTCTTTTCAGAGAGTTACAGGGACCTTGAAGCCTCATTATGTACAGTATTCAATGGAAAGGATTGGATGCTGCGAAAGAGAACTACGAGAGAGAGAGACCAGCATGAAAATCCTGCAAGGATTTTACCACTGAAGACACCATCATTGCTACTGAAAAGGCCATGAAAGCCACTAAGCCTGAAACAAATTCCCACCAAAGAAAACGGTGTCCAGATGTTGGCCTGACTTCACAGGATTTACAACAGAGCCAGTCAAGGAAATCATGAAAGAGACTGTGGATGTGGCAAACAAAGGTGGGAGATGAAGGGTGCAAGATACGGCTCTTGAGAAATTCCAGAGCTAATAGACACCACTCCAGAGGAATGAACTACAGACAACCTGATGGAGATGAGTGCTTCCAACCCAGCGCCAGATGATGAGGAAGAAGATGTAAAAGAGACAGTGCCAGAAAGCAAATTGACATCAGACAGTGTGGCAGAAGGGTCCTGATTAGTCAAGACTGCATTTGACTTCTTTTGTGACATACTCACTTCTGTGATACGCACCGAAACTAAAGGAAATGGTGGAAAGATTGGCACTCATAGAAACTAAAAAGTAAAGCAGACAGAAATTATGATGTACTTCCATGAAGTTACACTGAATGTGCCTGCCTCTCCCGCCTCCCCTTCCACCTCCTCCACATCTTCCACACCTGAGACAGCAAGACCCATCCCTTCCCTTCCTCCTCCTCCTCCTCAGCCTGCTCGGTGTGAAGAGGATGGGGATGAAGATCTTTTTGATGGTCGGTCCACTTCCACTCAATGAACAGTACATTTTCTCTTTCTTATGATTTTCTTTTATTTTTCTCTTCTTTTTTTTTTTTTTTGTTTGAGACAGAGTCTCACTCTGTCGTCCAGGCTGGAGTGCAGTGGTGTGATCTAGGTTCACTGCAACCTCTGCCTTCCAGGTTCAAGCAGTTCAGCCTCTCGAGTAGCTGGGTTTACAGGCACCCACCACCATGCCCAGCTATTTTTTGTGTTTGGTAGAGATGGGGTTTCACCATGTTGGCCAGGTTGGTCTCAAACTCCTGACCTCAAGTGATCCACTCACCTTGGCCTCCCAAAGTGCTGGGATTACAGGTTTGAACCACCGCACCCAGCCACGATTTTCTTAATAATATTTTCTCTAGCTTTATTTTAAGGATATAGTATATAATACACAAAACGTGTTTTAATTGACTTTTACGTTTATATTATTGATAAGTCTTCTAGTCACCAATAGGCTATGAGTAGTCAGTTTTGGGGGAGTCAGAAGTTATACATGGGTCAGGTATAGTGACTTACACCTGTAATCCTAGCTCTTTGGGAGACCAGGGTATGAGGATCACTTGAGTCCAGGAGTGTGAGACCAGCCAGGGCAACATGGCAAAACCCTGTCTCTACTTAAAAAAAAAAAAAAAAAAAAATTAGCTAGACGTGGTGGCATGCACCTGTAGTCCCAGCTATGCTGGAGGCTGAGGTTGGGGGGTCACCTGAGCTTGGGAGGTTGAGGCTGTGGTGAGCCTCGATTGTGCCACTGCACACCAGCCTGGGCGCTGCAGGTGAGACTCTGTCTCCAAAAGTTATACACAGATTCTTAACTGCATGTGTAGGGGTTCAGTACCCCCTATCCCCACATTGTTCAAGGGCCAGCTGGATAGTAATAAAAACTGACAGTCATCCAGTGCTGTGTGTGGATGTCTTTCTAAAGGTAAATGTACTTTATGTACAGTAACTTACTGTAATCCTCACAACAGCACTGGGAGGTTGATTCTCTTATTATCCCCATTTTACAGGCAAGGAAACCAAGGTACACTTGGGGAGGTTAGGTCAGCCATGTGTACAGCAAGCGGTGAAGGCAGAATTATTTACTCAGCTCATCTGTTCTTGGCCATCTGTTTTCAGATTACAAATTACACTACATAAATCTTTGTGTGTAAATCGTAGTCCACTTAAAAAATATTTTTCATACCTGGACTTTAAAGATTTTCAATACATATTGCCATACTGCTTTTCAAAAAGGTCCTACATCAGATACACTTCATTTCAGAAAGAATTCTGAGCACTACAAGAGATGCATCCAATAGGAGAAAAAAACAGCTGTACAGATTGATCACATATTTGAGTGCCCACTACCTGCCAGGCACTCTTAGGTGCTGACGATACAACAGTGACAAGACCCCTGCCTTTATGGTCATGGGAAGGGGGTGGGAGGCAGACAACCTGCGGACACACAGCCAGTGCGTGCAGCAGGTTCGAGGCTGGTGGCAGGTGCTGAGGAGGCGGCCGGGGGTGTTGCGTAGTGGCCACCGCTGGAGAAGATAATGGAACAGAGGCTGGGCTGGGGTGGGTTACAGACATGCAGATGCCTGGGGTTCTGGACCTGACAGCCCATCTATTCCTCGCTGTCAGCCAGTCCTGGGCACTAGAGCCGTGTGACTATGAGCTTAAAGTGCACTCAGGTGTCAGACCTTGGTCAAGAGTAGCCTGTTACTGAGGACAGAGAAATGACTCCCTAATGGGAAAAAAGTCATGAGTAGCCTCAGGAGCAGTCCTAGGACAGGTTATAGTGGCTCTGTGGGCGTGGCCTCACTTTCCCAGGGTGGTGTGGGAGTGGCCTTTCCCTCTGGGTGGGCCTGTGGGCACGGCCTCACTTTCTTTGGGTGGTGGTTTGGGCGTCGCCTCGCCTCCTCTGGGTGGTGGTGTGGGCGTGGCCTCTCCCTCTGGGTGGTGGTCAGGGCGTGGCCCCTCCCTCTGGGTGGTGTGGGTGTGGCCTCGCCGCCTCTGGGTGTCTGTGTGGGCGTGGCCTCTCCCTGTGGGTGGTGGAGAGAGCGTGGCCTCTCCCTCTGTGTAGCTCTGTGGGTGCGGTTGTCCTTCCCGCCAAACAGCTGCTGCTTCCTAGCTGCTCAGATTGCCTCACGACCTCATCCACGTAAACGCTTGGATGTGACTAGGTCACAGAGCCTCATCTGCCAGAGGGCAGAATGTTGCTTTATGAAATTTAAAAATGTGGTTGATTACAAAATTCCATTTGTCCCCAGGTGAAAAAGCACCTATGGATAGGAAATTCAAGCAACAGTGAGTAGGCCATCTGTGTAAGCCCAGACCCTAGGGAAGAGCTGCTGGGGGTGCCCCTTGGAGAACGGGCAGAAGCTCTAGTTCTTTAGCTGAGGTTCCCCAGCAGCCTGCATCAGACTTTTCTGTGGGGTTATCTGACCTGGCGAGACCCTACCCCGAGCACTTAGTTAAGGAAGGCCTGCTGGTGAGAGTGCTGTATTCTAATCAAGTGTGTAGGTTTTTTCCTCGTTACCTCCCAATCTTCAGTCTCGGTGCTAAAATAGCCGTGTTTATTCTAGTGTTAAGTAAATGCCAGGAGTTCTGTCATGCTTTCTGCCCTGGAGGAGCATGGCCAGAATGAGGGTGGTTCTGTTGACATGTGCGTGGTGTTTGTGGATTTTCTAGTGAATGATTTCCTCCCAGCTGCAGTTGAGTGGTTTCCATGAACAGGTACAATCTAGAAAGTCAAAGGCCAAGCGTACAATACAACTTTTTTTCTTTCTTTCAAAAACGTCATTTGATTGCAAGCAAGAGAGTGTTAAAAAACTAAAAACACCTGTTTATAACAACAGCATGGTGGTGATCACAAATTGTCTTAATTGTGTGAACCTATATATGAAACAGGAATATTGGAATCTGCTGTGTTCAAAATGCCAATCAAAACTTCATAAAGGCC